GGACTGGGTTCGGCTGTTTGGGTCTTGGGGGGGCGAGGAGAAGGGGGAGACAGGGCTTGAACTGCTCTCAGCCCTGCTTTGGGGCCTATCGGCTCGCCATTCTTGGGGCCGAGCCGCCCCCTGGTGGTCAGAGTGGCCCCTGCAGCTCAGCTTCTGTCCTGGTCACGCCCAGGACAGCGGGCCCCTCTGAAGGCCAGAGGAGCCAGCAGGCAGTGAAGTCCTACGGTGTGCCTCCTCACTCCCACTCTGTGGCCTTGGGAGAGCTGTGCGGGCAGGAGAAGTCGCTGAGCAAGGCGGCTCTGCAACCAGCCATTTCCCAGCACACAAAGGAGCACAGGGCTCAGGTGCCACCGTTCTCGTGAAGGGGTTGAGTCTGAAAATAGCAAGAACGCCCACGGTGCCCATAGTGGGTATGAGAACAAGTAGGCCGCGGCGTTGCCCTTTCCTAGTAGCGGTTACACCTGGGGGAAGGGCGCGCATCACACGGGTGGAGTTGGTGCTGGCGGCGTCCTTAGGCACCTGCGGGGTATTGGTTGCTGTTTTCGACCCCTGGAGCTCAGAATCCGAGAGCGACTCCATGGGAAGCCCGAGCCTGGGGAAGCCTCGTGGTTTTCTGCCAGAAAAGCCACGCTCCTCACCAGAACGCTCGTGGCTGTGGCCGGGGCCGGAGTTGGGACTCTCAGCCTCTCAGGCACCAGGCCGCCTGCTGGGCCCCGGCCAGATTTCAGGCAGTTTCCCGGGCGGACCGGGAAGGAGAGGCGCCGGAGCAGAACGAGCAGCGGCCCCTGACGGTTGGTGGCTATGGCGGTGGCTCTTGGCTCGGTGTTGCTTGGTCGTCCACAGGACGGGAAGCCCAAAGGGCTGGGCCTGGCTTTGTTCGTGGCTGCACGTCCCAGCACTTGGCACAGTGACATTTGCTGAATGAATGAATGAATGAATGAATGAAGGGTGAGCCCTGAGGGTCCTGGCCCAGGGTGAGTACTAGCACAGAAGGCTGGGGTGCACGTGGGAGTCCCTCGAATGCCAAACGGAGAGTGTGGACGTGGTGCTCAAGGTTATGCGGAGGCGTTGAGGGTTGTGAGCAGGAGAGCGAGCTGATCTGACCTCTGTTGGGGGCCAGAGGCTGCGGTTTCTGTTTGAGAGAAGATGCAGCACCTGCCACGGCCCCATCCTGCACCAGCTGCCTCCGGGATCGGGCTAGGAGTGGCCTGGGCCCCAGTAAATGCTCCTGGGGGACCTGGGAGTGACCCCTCGGGGTCACTGTAGTGACTGGTCAGAAACTACAGCCAAAGTGGGAGCCACTGATTCTGGAAGGGGAGGCCTGGCCTTCTAGTCTTTGCTCTGCGGCTGGTTTCCTCTCAGAAGAGTTTATAGCGCCCCCTGCTGTCCATTCCTGGAAGCACACTGGAGCATTTGGGAGAAGAAAATGAAAAGAAAAACAAAGCCCCCATTCCCGTTTGCTGACCACAGTCTCCAAAATACTGACTCGTCACATGACTCTCATGACTGAAATGTTCCCGACGGGCTTGCCATCCTTGTCCCGCTGTCCCCCTGTCGCCCACCTGCTGCCTCTGGTGAGAGACTGCAGGAAGCATGGCCGGGCAGGGCTGCCACCTGCTGTTCACACTGGGCGCTGCAGGCAGACAGCCTGCCGGGCTGGCGCCTGGGCTCCTGGATCAGATTCCTGGGGGCAGCAGCCTTAGGACCCCCAGATGTATCCTTTCCTATGGCTGGAAGATGGAAGAAAGCAGGGCCCCCAGGCGCCCCTGTGTCCCGTGGGCGTCTCTAGGGAACAGCTACAGGGGCCTGGTAGCCTCTGAGCACCATAAGCCCCCTCTAGTCCAATCAAGCCCTCAGAATGAGAGCAAATAAAATATATTTAAAAAACAACAATGCGCCATTTGTGAAGCTCAGTGAAGCGCCGTGTGCCTGCACAGCAGTCTGCCTCGTGCCTCTCCCAGCTTCTGGGGGTTGACAGCTGACCACCAAGTGTGGGTCAGGGGAAGGGTGCATGTGCCAAGAATGCTGAAGTCCCAGGAAGTCCTCTCAATGGCTTTGCTCACTCAAAGTGGGGTTTCCCAGAGTGGTCCAGCAGGGGGCAGGGGAGGGTCCATTCCCACCCGCGTCCAGCTTGGGGGATACCCGCTAGGTGCTGGCGGGAGAGCAGAGGCAATGAAGACAAAACCCAAACCTCTCACAGAAGAGAAAGTTAGGGAGGGTGTGAGCCCACCCAGAGGCTTTCCAGTCAGTGTGGTCCTGGGTCCAGCAGCGTCAGCAGGAATCACGTTAGAAATGCAGCGTCGCAAGCCCCACTCCCCCCACCCCCACCTCCGTCCTGAATGAGAACATGTCATTGAACCAGCCCTCCCGTGACTGTCATGTACCTCCAGATTCAAGAAGCCTGCAAGAGGCGGGGGTTCTCACACTTGATGCCCTGGAACCCCCGAGGGCTCTGGAAACAGGTGGCTGCCCCTCCCAGGTGCTGAACCAGGTGTGGGCCGGGCCCACGGATGTGCATTTTCAACAAGGGCCCAGGCGTGGCACATTCCCACTCTGATCTGGATCTGCCCGGAGCACCAGACTCGGCTGCACATTGGTCACCCGAGGGCGCCTGGACCCACCTCCGAGAGACCCTCATCAGACCGTCATCATGATGCGGCCCGAGCAGCAGTTTGAGAATCACTGGCCCGGTCCTGAGGCCCCAGACAGCAGCTCCGTCCAGACCACTTCACCAGAGAACACGCCAGGGACATCCTGCCGCAGCCAAGAGCCACTCCAAGGTCATGCGTGGGAAAGAAAGCACTCGGCCTCCTGGTACATGGGTGGTTATACTCAGAGCACGCGAGCTTTATTCAGCAACAATGGCAGTGTTTCATGAGGATGAGCTGCACGACTGTGTTTTCTGTGCAAAGTCTGAGAGCAAACAATTACAGCAACAGAGCCCGGCCCCCACGCCCTGCCCTCCCCCCACCAAACAGGCCCAGGTTGCTCCTGGCACCCCTGGCACGGTGGGCTGGGGCCTCGTGACTCTCCTCTGCACCCATAACCTGCTCCCTCCCTCTTCTCTGCTGGCCCCAGCCACCGGGCTGCAGGGGAGAGGCCAGGGCTTGGTGTCCAGTCCTGCCTCTTCCTTCTCAAGGCCCCTCTGGGGGCATCTGGGCCGCAACACCACCTTCCCCTCCCAGGGATCCCAAGTCCCCACCCGCTCGTCTTCTCTTTTGTTTCAAGGCCTTTTCCTCAATGGATGTTAACAGAGTCTCAGTAGAAGAAAGTGCTTTTCTGAAGCACTTCCCACTCACCCAGTATTAGCCCTGCCCCTTCCCAGCCCCCGGTAAGCAGGCAGGGGACAGGCGTCCTTAGAATGGGACCAGGTAGCTGCAGAAACCGTTCACAAAGGGACGGACCAGGCCCAGGAGCTACTGGGGCAAGAGGAGGTCAGATTTCATCTTGGTTCTAATTCAGGGTACATCCCAGCAACCGACTGAATACGAAGATCATCCGAGATATCTGTGTGACCTGTGTGTGTGTGTGTGCGTGTGTGTGTGTGTGTGTGTGTGTGTATGTGCGTGCACGCATGTGCTTGTCTTTAAGCATGACCTTTTGTGACGTATCCCTAATCGTTTGTGACCTTCCTCCTAGGTCTCTGACCCAGACAGGGGTGCCTGGGGGAGGAAAGCTCAAACCACACGTGGCCAGCAGACATGCCAACATGGGAGGATCAGGTAGGGACAGCCAAGCACACCTGGAGAGAGGAGGTACCCAGCCTCTTCAAAGGTGAGGGGTGGGGCTGACTTGAGAGGGGCTTACAGCGGTGGCTGGGTTGGACAGATGGACAGATGGCTGAGGGATGGTGACTGAGGGGGCTTGTGGCAGCAGCTGGACTGTACAGATGGATGGCTGGCCAGGGCAGATGGCTCCGCACACATGAACCCCTCCTGCTGGGTGGCATGCACCACCTGCCGAAAGCGTGGAGTTGGCAGTTAGTTAAAGCGGAGGCTGGGTGGGGAGTGCTCACACCGTGTAAGTTTTGACAGACTTATAGAGGGGTGGCAGCAGCCCGTGGTTCTCACGGACGACCTCCAGGTACTCAGACGGGGACTCCAGCAGGAAGGGCACGCAGCACATCTGGCAGCACTTGGCCTCAGTGGGTGGCTCTGGGTTCTTGTCAGACATGGGGGAAAAGTCAAAATCAGCCACCTATGATGAACAAAACCCCATGGGTCAATCACCCACCCACCGGGAGCCCCATGAGGTGGCCTTACGAGCTCAGCTGCCTAGTGGCAGCACGCACAAAAACCTTTCTGGCACCGCACAGCATGCCACTGTGTCCTGGGCTTTTCTGCTTCCTGGGGTTCCCTCTTTCAGTGTCCCTCTCCCTTACTAGCTCCTGGGCACAGCTGCCAGGCAAGAGCTAAGTCAGATGGGAAGAAGCCAAATCAACAATTTTGCCTGGTCTGTGGATGCCTCTTGGGCACATCTCCCCCAGCCCCAGGGTCTTGCACTGGATCCAGACCCTTCTAAGCCCTCTGGCCTTGCCCCCATGTCTCTCCATACAACCTCTCCATCATCATCCTCTCAGGGCCTAGAGGTCCAACCTCCCACCCTCCTTAGCACCCACCTCCACCATGTCCTTCTGCTGAGTAGTATTCCTCAGGGTCATGTACATGATAAAGGCCAGCATCATGGTGATAATTGTGGCACAGGGGAAAGCAAAGACAGCTGGCTGCATTCCTGGGAGCGAGAAAGGGTGAAGTCATGGACCCAGGTAGTCAGTGTTGAATGCTAACTCTCAGGAGGCCGCAGCAGGAGAGAAAAATTAACCCCACCGGAGCCTTTTTCTTATGTACATGCATCCCAACAGTGCCATTACAGAGGTCACGTGCTGGGGAGATGGGGATAAACAGAAGATGGGAATCATGGTGGCTCATTTCGTGTGGGAGTGTTCATGTTGGGGACATGTGTGGTATTGGTAACATGGAAGGGACATTGGTGACAAGGGTGGTGGCAGCTAGAGAGCTGAGACGCTGGGGCGCCATGGCAGTGGTGGCCTTGGTCCAAGTGGCCTGGGCCTGGCAGGAGGGGTGTTAATGGCAGTGCTGAAGGGAGCAGCAATTACAGAGCTGTCCGCTGGTTCTGGGCATTGCTGGGAGGTGTCGGCAGTGCATGTGGTCGCGGTGCTGGTCAGCTGGGCTGGTGGTGCAGAGCTGGCTGTTGTTACTGCTGGTGGTGGTGTCAAGGGTGGTGTTGTCCCACCAGGGTGGACGAAGCTGCAGAGGTCAGCAGCCAAGGCCCAGCCCTCCAAGGGCTCTCCTGGGGAAGACCGGTCCCCCACCCCCACGGGGACAGGTCAGAGGGAAGCACCATCTAGAATGGACGGTGCTAGAGCTGGCTGTTGGTGGCGCTGGTACAGTTTGGTGGGAGGGGGTACGGGCAGTCGTCAATGGTATTGGTTGATCAGTAGGGTCATTGGTGATTCTAGTGTTGGAGGGACTGGCTGCTGATGGCATGAGCAGCGTGGGCTGGTGGCAGGGTGGCTGGGTCTTGCTGCCTGTGAGGCTCTGAAGCAGAAGGGAGGTGTCACTTACTGGAGGGCCACACCTGGACCCTGTGGTACTGATGTGTCCTGCTGATGACATTCTCGGCCCGGATGCTGAAGCAGTAGTCCCCAGGGTCCATGATGATGGTGGTCACGTTGTAAACTGTGCTGGCCACGGACACTGGGCGACACTCGTGTTCCTCCAGCGGGAGGCACTCGGACTTGATGCGCCAGCACATGGTCAGAGGGGGGCTGCAGGGAATGTGGGCCGAGTTTCAGAAAAGGCTCAGCAAAGAGTGTGGGCACAGACCAAGGCCAAGGAAGGCCAGGCGGCCAGGAACTCCATGTCCTTTCCAGACAGAACCCCCAGCGGTCCTGGCCTCACACCTTCCAGACTGGGGAGCAGCAGTGGATAGAGGTGGGGACCCGAGGGCATTCCAGGCCGTGAGGCAAGCAGCCTGCACGGACTGCTGGCGGAGGCCGAATGAATGCCCCAGTGATGTGCGGGCGCGCTGGGCAAGCCTCCTGGAGGAGGTGGCACTGAGGAGGATCCGAAAGGGTACGTTGGCTTGTGATCGGTTTAAAGGGGACGAGGGCATTTCATGCTGTTTGCCTGCCCAGCACGGGCTCCGAGCTGGGAAACGCAGGTCTAAGGAACGCCCAGTGAGAATTCCCATCTCACACAACCCCAGGCTCGTGTAAAACACACACACGAGCATCAGGCTGCCAAGCCCCTGGCTTCCCAGCCCATTCTCCAGGTTCAAGCCCCACAGCCTCCTGAAGGCCTCACAAGCCCCCTCCAGCCTCACGGCGTGTCCTCCTCCTTCACTCATTCTCCCTCCAGCCCTGCCTCCCTCTGACCTGTCCCGTGGGGGAGGGAACTGGTCTTCCCCAGGAGAGCCCTGGCTGCTCCCTCTGCAGCTCTGTCCACCCTGTGGGC